ATCCCATTTTGCCATTATCATTACATATCATTACACAAGCTTTCGAGCAAGTGGCTGGTGTTCCATGGAATCGCGTCCTGGAGATCACGGCACCTGAGATCTCTGCGAGGATGGGTCAGTGTCAAGCTTAGTTTCAGCCTACCACAAGGATCACGAAGCAAAGGGAACGCCTTGCAACATGACCCCCTTTCCCGGCAAATTTGACAACTCCGAATGTGACTTAGAACAGGCCCACGCTTCCTACTCGTGAAAGTCTCTGCTGCCCAGCTACTCTTTTTGCAGCAGGATCTCGATAGCGGAGTGCAGGTCTTCCTCCTGATTCTCGAGAGACATGGCCATCTGGCTGTCTTTCTGCTGCTGCACTGTCTTTCGCAACCTTAGGGCTGGCAAGGTGGGCGAGAGCCATCCTGAACTTAATGAAACAAAGTCTTGCTTTCAGGCCGAGGAGCTCAGCTTTTAGTTTTCGGATTTGGCTGTGGGCAATTTCCAGCGCCTGCTCGAGCTGCTGCTTTTCCACATCGCAGTGCCTCAGCTAGCCAGCTAACCGGCCACAAAGCAAGTCCATCCTACACAGCTCTTGAAGGCAAACATGAGACGATTGCAGGCAGCAATCGCAGTGTCAAGGCTTTGTGGCACCGACACCGGCCAAGAAACCTGCGCGCATCCGCAGTGGGCAAAAACTTGGAGCTGGGCACGGAATGCCCAACATCATCCATCCACTCAATCTGGTGATCCTGCAGGGGCCAGGCTGCTTCATGAAAAAAGTCACTCTCGCCTGCACTGCGGGCTTGCCCATGATCCTGCACGAAGCAAACACCCGGGTCGCAGTTTGGACCCATCGCCTGCAGGCGGGGCCGAGCGGTTCTCACGAAAAAATGTGCTGTGCTGCAGACTTCTCCCCCATGCAGGCGCGCTCCCCTCAACTTCAGCCCTCCATCCCCATGCATGGCGACAAAGTGCGCTCTCGACCTGCTCCCACTGAATTCCAACATGGTGGTGCCCGTCCATCTGTGTCCTCAGCCAATGAATTATATGAATTTGTCTGAAAGACAATGAGCATGGCATGCAGCAGAGCTGTAGCTTCTTGGCTCCCAGCCAAGCCAATTCATAAGGCTCGGAAGCACCCTGCCACGCCCAGAGCACTCCAGGCGTCTGCGTTCGCCAGGCAGGATGAAACCTAAGTCGTCGTCTCAAGGCCAAGCAACTGCAGCAGCAAACGGGCAAGTAACAAACTGTGCGCCGCTCTCGGGGGGATGTGCGAGCAAGCTTCATAGGACCCACGTACTCATTGCTTCGTTCACATTGCCAGTTGCCAGCGCTCCAATATCCGAGGTGCGCCATGGCAGGTCGGCTTTGCAAGATTTCTGGTTGCCCCGAATCTTCAACCCCTCTACTGGGAATCCTTGCTAAGGCTTGAAGCCAAGCTGTGTGTGTGCACTGAAGTAGATGCTGCAAGGTCCAGGTTGTTGCCAGCTGGGGCCAAGCTTGTGCTGAGCCGAAGCAGCAAGAGATGCAAACCGAGGTTCGGCGCTTAAGCTTCTGGATTTAGTTATGCATTACACTGCAAGCGAGCCATGCCTCATTGCATTCCCGTGCATTCCTTTAGAAGGAATCTTTGGGGCTGCCAAAAGACTCGTCACAGGGCAACTGGAATGACAACTGAGGCCAACTTTTTTTGCAAGAGCTCCTGAACATGTCCCTGCGCCAGCTATGAGCCTCGCACCATCAACTCCAGTTTCATTCGGCTGCTACGAGCTAGATGCCAGGCTCCAAATTTGCGCGCCTACTGGCTCTCCATGCCCACACACTTCAGAGCACTCTTTGGAGGTGTCATCTGCATCTCCACGAACTCAATTTTGACCTCAGCTCTGATACTCTCGTCTCAAACTGGGCAAGGTGTTAAGACTGTCTTGCGATGCAAATCAATTGCAGCTCAAGCGCGTTCGGGAATCTGGTCCGAAGCTGCACCAACAGCGCAATGCTGCTGAATGAAGGGACCTTGTAAATCAGCGCTTGGCATGGGAGACCCAAGGCTGGGCAGCCTGTTTTTCACCCCCTCAAACAGGTTTTCCTGCCCAGGTAGATCTCTACACACAAGCCCTTCGCGTAGCCTCTGGATTCTAGTGATCTTTGCCAGTATCAGCTACAGAGAAAAACACTTGCACAGTGCGCCTGCGACAGGAACATCCGCAGATTTCCACGCACAGCCTGTTGTCTGAACTTTTTTGGCCATCAGTTGTGGCAGCATGGGGCGCCTGTCTTGCACAGGCCTGACAGTCAGCTTCCGACTGATGATGTACAAGGAGGGTTCTGTAGATGCTCGCGCCTTCAGCCATAACACGCCAATACCATCAAAACAAGCTCATGGCAGCATGAGACCCCTGCAGACTTCCGCCAAGGCATGCAGAACTGCCTCCGGACATGAGGCTCTCACTGGGACTCGTCAGATTAACAGTGTCACTCAGGACCGCAACAGTGGCAGTTGCTGCCTCGCTTGCTGGAGTGCTGCCGAAAACATCCGCTACGAACGTGCTCGTGGCCTGCAGTTTCTGGAGCAAGGGACAAAAGCGGTCACAAGTTGAAGGCTACACTGCCACCACGCAGTAGCCAACAGCCTCCAGAACGTCATCATCCTTGCAGAGCAGTGTTCGCAGTCAACACATCAAAAGGTAGCAAGCTCGTGGATCTGAGCATTGTGGCCACCATCCCCTCGCCAAACGCTCGAACGTGGAACTCATTCAGCTCAGCCTTACCGAATGTCTTGACAAAATTGGTGGGCATGCCTGCCATGTTATGACAATCCAACAACAGCAGCAGCAGCAGCAGCAGCAGCAGCAGCAGCAGCAGCACTACGCCAAGATCTATTTCTATTAGGAAGAGACAAACATGACCATCATCCACCAACAGGCCTGCTGCAACGCGCTATCAACCTTCCAGGTGTCAGCGACTCAGACAAACAACCACTGAAGAGCAACTTCATGAATGGAACAGCAGCTGACTGACTCCGCCTGCCGACATCTGCTACATTGTCTGGCTTCGCAAGGCAAGGGCAGAGACAACCCCCAAACTCTGAACCCTAGCATGCCTTGACCTCGAAGGCCACGCAATCGGTCAGGCGTCGTCTGTGAACCTGGCTGGCAGGCACCAGGTCGATATGCTTACCATGGGTTGACTTGCAATGGGAAAGCGACTGTGCCTCCTTCAGGCAACGCGAAACAAAGCCCCAGTTCGGCCTGAGCATCAGGATGAGGCCATGGAGGTTTGATTCCTGGTATAGCAGTGCAGGAAAACATCTCAGGCTTCCGCGATGAGAATCCAAGCTCTTCGAGGATGGACCTCACGTTGCGCATTGGTGGCTCTGACACAAATAGCACGCAGAGCAAGCAACTTAGGATTGTTTCCCTTGCTTTTGATTCACTAACTTCTCACCAATATCAGCTTGCTGGTGTGTATGCCTTCCTTGCTTGTTTCCTGTTGTTGAGTTTTCTGGCTCAGTCACTGATCCGATCTAGTCAAGCCCTTGCTGCATGGAACGTGCCACCCACATTGCGTCGAGGAGGCGCAGTGCAGAATGGCTGCGAGCTTAGTTTGGCCTCTTGGTTGCAACCTAAACAGCAGCCTTGGCCGCACTTCCATCATCGCGACCTGTCCTGCTAAGCAATCCTCCTGAAGATCCTCTCAACAAAATGGGGTCAATCTCGCCCAGCCACAACCCTGCAGATACTGTTCATGGTAGGCTATATCCTCACACCCTCCAGGCAGTTGCTGTTGGAAAGAGTCCTGGCTCTTAAAAGTAAAAACAAACGACAAATGTCCAGGCCAAAGCGGCACTGAGGCCTGTACTTGGTGGCAAAGACGCGCAAGTCGGCCATGCCAACGTGTTGCAGCGGCGGCAATGCCTCCTGCTTTGCGTTGAGTTAGATGACCACATATATATATATATATACCTGCTTGACTCTGAGGGCGAAACATCATTGATTTCGCTGAGTGATGCGAAATCCCTTGGACGAAAACCAGGCTGTTCCACGATCACATGTGAAGTGGCATTTCACGGTACGTATGGTAAGGCCAGAACGGAAACAGTCGATTAAAACCCTGAACGGCCATGGATAGCCGTTCCTTCAGGTGCAGCTCCAACCCTTCTTGGTTGGGCGTTCTGTGACCTGGGCATGCAGGGATACGGCAAACTCCAGATCACATGGAATTTTTCTAGACACGGAGACCCAACATAGACCCCAATATGCATCATAACCCTCACTATTGGGACCCAAAAAAAGGACGCTGATTTTGAGAAACCCTAAGCCCCGAACCCTAACCCCTATATATCCCTACACAACCCCTTGAAACCTGCCCCTAATTTTGGGAAACTGTCCATCTTTTCTGCCTCTTGACCACAGGATTCACCTGAGAAGCTGGCCAATCATGTAGCTCTCCACGAGCCGCGCCAGGCCCTGCATTCCATGAGGCCAATCCCTATACAACCCATATGATCCCTAGATATAGCATACATGATTAGGAGAATCCCTATATGTATCGCTGTCAAATCCTCATGTATAGTACCTTCCATTTCACTTTCATTCTTTTTCCATGTTCCTTGCCACTTGTTTCTCCGTTGTTGAGGGCAGAGGTTCAAGGCTTTTGAGCGACACATCACAGCGGCAACCTTCAGGGAAAACTCGTTGACCCTTCTCGCCGCGGCGGCCTGAGCTGAAAGCTTTCAGCCACCCTTGCAGTCTGCCACATGCATCACACAACAAACCCCTGTGAGGTCCGAGCCAACACGGCCTGCAGAAGATCTCTGCACCAGCGTTAATGAGACTCTGAGAGCAGTGTGACGCCCTGCCTTTCGGAGTTCTGCATGGCTGACCAGAAGAGTGTTGTACCTGTTTAGGGCAAACAACTTGCCCAGGTCTCTCAAGTCTCAAGTAAGCCGCTTCAAATACGTCGCACCTTCAAATGATCCTAGGCACTGTTTCCAGTCTTTCGAGTCAATCGATGCCATTTCGGGCGATTGCTGAAGCAAATGTGTGGATTGCTTCATGCCACGGATTCGGAATGCTTGCGAACACAGCAGCATATTCCTTGCCCGCCTGCAAGCGCCAAGGAAAAGGCAAACTTCCCTCTTATTTGTGTGGCACCCTCCACCCTGCGTTGCCCGTGCCTTGGTCCCGGCCTGGGATCAGGACACGTAAGATATCTAAAGATTAAGGGTTGCCTTCCGCATACAGGCTTTGGAGTCGGGCATCTCCAACGAAAGTTCCAGTAGCCGCGCCCCTATCATGAGGCCACACTCTGCCTCCAACTTGCCTCCATCCAAGTGGATCAGCCAGATCAGTAAGTCCTTCAAGCTTCTTTGCCTCTGATTACTAATTCAATTCCATTGGTTCCTATACACAATGATGATGATGATGATGACGACGACGACCATGATGAGCAGCACGAGCTTCATCAGCAGGTTCCACAAATTCACTTTACATCAGGGTTTCATTCATACGCCATGCCCGGTGGGCGCACGCCCAAGCACAGCGCCAAAGGGCCAAAGGCTTCAGGTCGTGAATGCCCCGAATGATGTAAGGCCTTGGACAAGCAGGCTCACCAGCAGCAACGAGAAATGACGAATGGTTTGGTGAGCCATCAGCGCAGCTAGGTCCATGAAGGCTTTGTCCCTGTACTGCACCTTTCACTGTAATCCGTGTTTATTGCCAACCCGCACGATGTGCAGCAATCCCTGAGGCAGATACCATGGCAAAACCCCAAACAATCTGCACCAAGCCTGCCGCGTGGAAAACACTTGCGGACGGCGGCTACTGTAGGCAATGTCAGTTGCCCATTCAATGTTGGGCTTGCTCGTCGCACTCGTTGCACCTTGCGCAGTGAAGCTGTCCTTGTTGTGCCTGGGCTGTAGTAGTTTGGCAAAAGATGTGGTATCTCGCCTGGAGAAACATCTTATAAGGCTCCGACTCGAAACACATGGCCACCCTCTCACAAAGATCTTGCTGCCTGCAATGCATCTGTATTGGGAAGGGCTCCCACTGATCCAAGCAGAAAGCAGAACACCATGGATGCCAAAGCATGCTAGAAGCAATCATTACATGGCTTCTGGGCTCTGCATGGGCCTCATCGCAAGTGCCCCAAAGGCCCATGTCACATGGGCCAACTGCGCGGGGGAAAACTTTTCAGCCCGCTTGGCAACCTCGCATCAAACGCCATTGAAGCCTGACGCACTCCCACTGATTGAACGACTCCAGTTCCAAGCAGTGCCTTCGAGCCAATTTCAGACATCAAGCCAACATGTTGCCTGGGCCGTCTCTGTCAGCCAAACGCGGCGTCATGACAAGTGGATCTGGGAGCAGCACTGCCCGGAAACGGCAAAGGCCCAAGTCAGCATAGTGATCTCTGCTGCCTTGAAGCCTGGCATACTCAAAAGCCCTGACATAAGCCCATGACTCTTGACCCTCAGCATATCTGCCGAGGCGCTGCCAATCTGTGGCTCTGCCTGCTCCGCAATGATCCTGACGACCAATGGCACACTAGCGCCAAGATCAACCTTCGTTTCAAGACTGCGAGCACCGGCCTCATCACTGAGTCACTTCCCATCTGGTTCTTGGCAAAGGCCCACGCCTCTTGTAAGAGCATGCATGGAGGAGAACAAGCGCCTCTAAGAAGCTGAGGAATCATCTATGTTGGCAATCTCCGGAGGCTCCATGCTGGCCGAATTCCTTGCAGCACAATTGCACGCACAACAAGAAAAATAGCTGACTACGAGTCCGCTTGTCCTCTGCACTTGCTGGGAAATGGCCAAGTGAAGGCCCCTGTCCTGATTCTGTTCAACGTCAGCAAGGTTGCAGAGGGATTTAAATTGTTGTTCATTGTCGCGTTTCCCATTAGTGCAAGTAGTACAACGCTTTCAGAAGCAAGCACAGATCGCAGATTTCATTATTGTTTGCCAGGTTCTGATGGGGCACACCTCTGTGAAATTTCTTCATGGATTTCCCGACAGCCCTACCATTTTTGTCGTTTTCGTGTAACAAAAGCGCGCTCATTTGCTTGTTTTCAAGAAAGGTCCATGGTTTTCTTGGATCTGGTTCATGTGGCAAAGGTGACAGTAGCGACACTGAAATTGCTATTCTGGGAAACCGGAACAATTCAATGTCGAAGGCTTCCGAGACATGTATGATTTCCTTGGCAGTGCCAAGAAATCTCAGCAAATACCACCGACTTGTAAGTTTCCTACGAACAATGGCCACCAGGCCACTAGTACACAAGTAGGAAACACTAGTCCCTGTGTTTTCAGCCCTTCTGCTGAAGGAAACAACCCAGAGCATACCAGAGACATCTTCAGGACATCTCTCTATTCCCGTCCAAACCCATGCCGAATTGGAAAGTGGACACACCACGAATCCTGAGCTATTTCACGTCGAAGCAAGTCCTGGACTCTCAGATTCGCAAAAGCCCACGCAAGGTGTGCCAACTCCTGGCAGGCCAGCTGTCTGCCATCATGATCTGTAAATGCAGTGTTACGGGCAAAGTCAACCCACTCTCTCAAGCCGACTGAGGAAGGGACAGAATTAGAAAATTGGCTGATCTGTTCGATCGATCTGAAAGCGTGGCAATCTGTTATCTGTGCCAGCCTCTGAGACACAAAAGCATCATGCCACATTCAGGCCATGACTCGTACATGATCGCATTCATCAGCGGATCCTCGGCGAGGAGCAGACTAGGTGCTGCTCAAGCAAACCATAGCTTTCAAACCCTGGAAAACGTAAGAGATTCTGTGCCCAAAATGTCCAAAGAATTGCACTAACTTTTCATTTGCCTTCTGTTTTGAAATCCTTGTCACTCCAACACTCTCAGTGTGTTGACCACAATCACAAAGGCTTTCACAGCTGAGCCGTCGACATACTTGAAGCTCAGCGTCCTGATCTAGCACATATGGCCCACGTAGTGCAAGAAAACTCTGCAGACGGCAATCTGAAATGGCTGAGTGCTGCAAGGTCTCGAAAATGCCCACGAGACCATGGACATTTGAGCTGGCTCGAAGTGCGCTTTCTGCCTGCTATCACAAAGGAGCAAGCCCATTGTCAAGCGCGGAAGGGTTTCAGATTAAACAACCCTGCTGCCCTCAGTGCGGATAGCTCTTGGTGTTCGGAAAGCCTGTGGAGTGCTTGTGCAATCGCCCGCAGGAGCGGCTCCTGCATCCGCCACACGAGACGATGTATACGGTCTGCGGTCAATATGTCGAAATGCGCAAAGCAGCTCGCGCTACACCATAGTTATGCAAACAGCACACAATTGCTCATAAGAAAGAACATGCTCCTCCCGGGTGCCCCACTGGGCCATTGCCCAAGAGATGCTCGCCCTGCCGAGTCAGATGCCCGAATGATTGCAAATCAAACTGTTGCTCTGGGCAACTGATGAAAGCTGAGCACCGATGCAGGCTCTGGGTGCTGAAGGTGTCAATCTTTTCCTGCTTGCCAAGCTCTTTGACATGCGAGAAAAGGTCTTGGGGTGGCGTGTACGACTCATCAGGCGGTCCATGCACTCACGTTGAAGGCACTGCGCCAGTTGCGCATTCCACCTAAAGGCAACGAATTCAAAAGCCTGCGCAAGTGCCCAACCCTGAAACTCGCACAGCCATCCGCTGAGTCTGAGGTGCCCGCAGCCCGCACTTCGCAAACGCCCATGCCGTGTTGGCAAGCTCCTCATGGCTGAAGCCTGACAGCGCAGGCTATCTGAGTCGACCGTGAGCAGCCTGCCTGAAGACGCCACTGCGCAGCTTCCAGAGCAGCTTCAGTGTGCACTGAGTCTGTTCTGAGAGGGAGGACTGAGAATCAGAATCTGGGCATGCTTCGAGAACAGCAAACTGCCGTTTGCAGCAATTGCTGTGTGAAACCTGAAAACCTACGGATCTAAGATCGGGAACAGCTGAAAGCCAAAAGAGCTCATGATCTCGCAGATGCAGGTATGTCATCATCAGCAAATAATGTACAGCCTTCGCTCACGTGGCTCCTCAAGCTCGCTGTTGCCGGCATTAGCAAATAGAACTAATCACGTGCATTGGCAACTGTCCAAATGGATTCCATCGCGAAAAATTGGAACATGAAACGAAATGCCATTGCTCATCTCCTTGGGGAAGGCTGCAACCATAAGATTCTTTATCCACAAGACTGGTGTTCATGAGGACAGTCGCAAGCAGCAGGCGCTATCTGGGCTTGCGCATGTGGAGCTTGCTTGGTATGCCAGCTGCTGTTGGGGCATGCCTCAGCTGCTTCAATGTTTAATTGGACGATTATCATGTTTATTAGTATTCTGAGTAGTATAACTCATACAGTATAACTGTTGGCTGTGATCTAAGTTACATGAAGGTGCACCCCTCACATTACAGACTTTCTGTGCATCAGGGTGGCAGTTGGCTGCCGTGCGGCTTGTTGCTTGGTGTGGAGCCGGCCGGAGACCCGCCACGGCCCACATTGGATCCAAGCGCCTTGACTTCACAGGATTTCCTCGAAATCCAGGTAAAACTGATGGTGTTCCAGGTCCCGGGCAGGACGCTGGCCGAGACGAGGCAACAGGGGACCTGAACACAAACACAAAGAAACGGAACTTGATGACCAAATGCAGTGCTGAGCAGGGCACGAGGTGCATCCAGAGGCCTACAGCACTGCATGTCCACAGCAGCCGAGCCTCCTCCTGCTTCAAGTTATGTCAAGGCCCCCACGTCTGCCGGCTGGGATTTAAGGATCGGTGTAGAAAGCCTAGCATCAACGGTACCATGGATAGCCATGTGAGGCTCTGTGGATTCCAGATGATGTCCGCTGGCTATACGCCTGGAGAACGGCTCTCCCGCAGCTCGTATTCCTCGCTATTCATCAGCACATTGGTCCTTCGAGCAGACCATCTTTCACATGCTGGGACTCTACGAAAAGTCCCCTGAGCTCAGAACGGCAGCCAAGCCATCACGCCTCAGCATTGAGCCACGTCACTCCGGTCACTCCTTACTGTGCCAAAGGTCGTTCGGGGTCCTGCCTATTGGAGGCGGAAAGCGAACCGAGGACGTTCCATCAGAAGGATCATCTTTTGTGACGGTGCCCTGCGCTGCAAACAAAAAACACAAGACATGTTCAAACGCTTGCAGTGTGACAGCTTCGACTTCACAACGCTTCGCGCAACAGCCAGCAAAGTCTGCCTCTTGACCGGCCAAGGTTCTCAGTCGATCATCCCACTGAAGCGCGGGATGTTGCTCTACAGCACGTCTCAAGACGGTGAGCTCTGGCCTTAGGGCTCGAATGCTACAAGTACCCTTACAAAAGCTTTTGCTGCTTCTTGAGATGGGTGTGTCGCTATGTTTTGGAGACTGCTTACACCAGGGAGTCGCGCCGTCTTCATCCCATACATTATGTTGGAGGTCCGCTTCTTGCACGTACAAAACTCGAACTTCCGATGATGTAAGGCAATCACAGCCGAACTTGACGTCCATCTTTGACGTCCTATCAGCACGTGCAGGTACGCGAGCCTAAGGAGGATGTGCATCGTCTGCCGGGGGCCTTCTATATGTTCTTTGTGCTTGTCCTTGTATACTCAGTATAGTCATCAGCTTCAGCATTCTCCTCTTTGTGGGACGCCCCTTGACGCACCCATTGCAACTCTGAATACACCCCACCCTGCTGCACCTCCGCATCAGCTGCTCCAGGGGATCCCCCCATCATACCTCAACAATTGCCAATCTGCAAGGCAGTGGGATGCTGCTGCATCCCCAGACCCATAAGCCCTGAATTGGAAGTAGGACATGGTATTCCACCCTCTGGAATTCCGCTGTTTCCCACTTGTCCTTCCGATTTCGAATCCGGCTCTTGCGTCTTCATCCGAAGATGGGCAAGAAGAAGCATAAGTATAATGATCTGAGACTAAGGTAAACAGACCTCCTTCTCCCTTCTCGTCCACGTTGCAAAAACAAGCTGGCGTTGGCTAAGGATCCTCGCTTTAAATCTGAGAGGAAGCGGCGATTACTTCTTGAAGTTCTTAATAACTTTTGATTTACTCTGGCAGCATTTAGGAGCCTTCATGATTAGGATGTAACTTCTACATGGCGGGGTGTATGCTTTGTAAAGGCTACACCCTCTGTTGTTAGGCGTGCAGTACCAGGTGAGGGGTTTTATTTTAAATGGGGGGTGCCTACAATTGACTAGCAGGAAGTTGAAGAATCTCTGTTAGGTTGTGACTTCCTCAAGGCTTCAAGCAGCTAGCTTTGACAACCATGCTGGTCAAGAGGATTCGGATGAACCTTCATCTGCAGCAAATGGCCACCAAGCTGCTGCCCACCAGGTCTTGCCCGCCGAATCGCGACATCAACATTCCTGGGCATGGAGCTGACGGTCAAAGTTTCCTTGGCACTGCGAGCTTCTTTCTCTGAGTCGCTCATCAACATGGCATCCGGGTCGGCTCCATCACCTTGCCCGTCACAGACTCTTCAAAATCTATTCAAAAAAAGGCGTACGACAAGATTGTGAGCAGGGGACTGGGGACTGCTTCAATGCAAGACGTCGGTGTTCTTCGAGCTCTGGACAGACACTCACAAAATACATGAATATGAATATTTGAAGAACTAGCAAAAGAAAGACTTCCGAGCAGAAAACTTAAGTCGGAAACATGCAAGATGCAAAAGACACACAAGTAGCTGTTCAGGAGCCCTCGAGGGTCCTCCCAAGCCAACTCTTGGCGAGGCACCATCTTCTTCGCTGCTCTTGAGCTGCTCTGGGAGCTTCTGCTCCCAAGATCTCCACCAGGCCGCCCTCTCCTGAGATACCCAGAGATGCTCAAACCTCTACTACGCAAGCAGCAACTTTAATTTCAGCAAGGTGCTGGGCTTCCTTTCTTGCCCGCAGGAGATCCCAGCTTCGCCTTTTCATCCTTCAGCGCCTCCGCCCTGCAAGCTCAGAGATTATTTGAGGTCATGTTCAGCATCATATGCCAGGCCTTGGTCCGCTAGCCTGTGGAAACAAGACACAGATCCTTCATTCTCTCCCTCCAGAGAACAAACTTTCTCAGGCCTCGGCTTTGCTCAGCTCCTGCAAGCGTAGCTGCTTTCTGCAAAAGAAACCGCACATGAACCTTGCATGGAGTCCTCCAGCAGCATTTCGTACCTCATCTCCGCTGCTTGTGCCAGCGTTAGGCCAGCCTGTCGCCGTGAGACTTTCCTGCTAACACTTCTAAACAAACAACCAGCACTGTTGCCGTCAAGCACACGCCTTCTTTGCCATTGCTTCATAGGCCTCCATGAAGCCTCTTGCAGGGAATGGCAACATAACAGACAAATGCCTCCCTATGCTTCCTGTCATTCCACGTGCAGAGACGCATAAAGAACCTGCCAAGGACGGGTAGCAGGAAGAAGGGAACTACTCCCACCAAAACCTGGCCATGACACCTCCAACCTGTTGCGGCACGAACACCCTACGCCAGCAGGAAGTCCGCAAGATCTGGCATCCACCCTCTCTCCGGCCCACTCCACTCTTCTTGACCGGGCATTCTGCTGGTGCCTAAGGGGCCTGGGTGCGATCTGGTTTCACCTGCACACCTTTGTCTGAGGTTTCTCAAGCGTTCTGAAGTTGCCCTTGAAGGTTCTCGCTGTCAGAAACTTCCTTCCTCTGCCCGGCACGGGCCTTTGTGGTGTGGACGATACAGAGGTCCGGGCGTGAATGCCTGCAGTTAATTCAGGCACCGAGCACCTACAACAGCGACAGCAAACTCACGCCCTTGCTGAGCTTCCAGCGACATGCTCGCGGGAGGTGTCGGATCCTGGACCACACGAGCACAGAACACATTTGCAAGCGAGCCAGCTCTGCGTTACTTCTACTCAGCCCACAGCCTTTGAGAAGTACGCACATGCACCTCAAGGCTGCAATGCAAAACGCCCAACACAGCGGGTTTTTTCGTGTGGATAGTCATGCAGACCCCAGCACTTCGCCACTCCAAGAGCGCCACGAAAGGTTGTCTCTGGAGTTCGACTCAAGGGCTTTGACGCAGACTGCTTCAGCAACCGTTCCTGTCAAATCTTGCGCTGTACTGCGGTCAACAAGCACATGAACAGGTGTCCACACGGATCCTGGATCATCTTTCACCCTCAAGGTTGCAGCCTCCAGCTCTACGCCCTACTGCATCACGATTAGAGGAAGCCAGCTGCTGCCAAGAGACAGCATGCTTGATCACCTTGGTGTTCAACTCTACTCTCCCAGACCACCAAACTGACTGCACCAGCTGGGGGCTGAAACATGCACGCATAGGCCATCTGTAGCCTGTGGCTCGTGGCCTGAAGATATGGTGCCTGCTAGCAACGCCGCTACCGGTCTCCCAATGGTATGAGCCAGGTGACGTCTGGGTTTGGAAAGTCCCCCTCTGAGATGCCATCGCACACAAGCAGGAGAAAGTGCGAGTCCTGTCCAGTTCTTCAAGTGGTCTTGCACAGGACAGTCCCGTGTACGGCACTTCAACCGACAATATGACAAAGCAGCCAAGCAGCATCACACTCAAAGCGGCCGAACTCAGGATTGCAGGTCACCGGACGATCCTCAGGACCTGGACCTCCTGTGAAGAAAGGAAAGTGGACTCCAGTTCCCACAAACTTCGATTCCATGTAGATAAGACTCAACAGAAAGAGATATTATCTCGGACCGTGCTGATCAGTCCTGTCTTCTTGAACTCAGCATCACCAAACCCGCGGG